TCAAGAGAACCAATGCAAACATTTTATCAGGCGGAATTTATTCGCCTGTCGATTGTACAATGAAAAATAATATTTAACCGCAGGATTCAACTCAACAATACTATTTATAGATATTTTTTACAGCTTCCATTACTGTTACCCAATAAAATAACGGCAAAGAATATTTATGAGGAGAACCTTCAATATGGATATCCTGGGAGGAAAATAATAATAGCCGCATTTATCCCTTTTATCCCAGAAAGTCTTTTCACACTGTCTCCCGATCACGAATTCGAAGTGCCAGGAAATTCCATTGAATGTTGAATCTGTTTACTCTTTTGTGATGATGCAAATTTCTAAAATTGATTTTGGTAATAGTCACAAAATTTTTCGGTTATACTACTACAGTGGTTCAGGTTGCTCCCTATAGGTACTTATAAATGTCGCATTTTGTTTTTGATCCATTTCAAATTATTTTGAATGCTCATTAAGTTATTAAAATTCAATCCAAAATTGTGTGAACAGCAACTTTATGGTTTATGGTCAGCATTCAAGAAATTTCTTTTAAACTTTAGATATGTTTATTGATTCGAGGCAACCATATTTTAATAATTTCTCCCAAAGTTCGTCCATTAAGCGACGAGGCAACACGTTTATTCTATTATAAACTTCCACATTAAAAATTAATGTACACACAACGAATCACATTAAAAGTCAGGCAGGTACATTCCTTTTAATTGATTCGATGAATTCAGATAAAATTCTAACATTATCTGAAATTATGAATAACCGAGAGCGTTCAGATTTTTGAAACTACAGTGGTGGATTTGGAATTCATTTTATAGACATAAATAGAAATAAACGATAGAATAGTTATTTGAAATTATGGCAGCATAAGTAAGAACTATTTAAAAAACAGAAAAAACTAAATTAAAGAAAGAAATTTTACTAAAAGTAATCATTATTGGATCAATTTATTTATTAGATTCCTCGACTATTCAATTTTCAATGCATTAGGTCACTTACCTAATGAAACAAAAAGTATGCATACTTATCCACATATGAAACGACAAATGATTTTTGAAAATTACACCCTAATAATAAAGCCCATAAATCACGAAGGTCTAAATAGATATTTCCTTTGGATGATTGATATTCATTGCATATGACCAATGAAGCAAACAATCAACCAGGATCCTCTCTAGATTAATTTCAGCATTTTAAAAATTACTGGATCAGGATGCGCTACTGACCATAACTACGGTTCTCTGGTCGCTTTTAAAACTGAGTCTGGCGGATGATTTTACACCCGTAAAGTCATTTATAACCCTGATCTATCTGCTAAAGTGGGTAGTTAAAATTTATTGCCAGGATTAACCGAACAGAGGAATATTTTATCATGGAAAATAAAATGTTAATAATCCCTCATGATGCTCTTTACCTAATGAACTGTAAGATAACAAATAAAGAAAAATATCGGTTAGTAACCTTTATTCAAATTTATTGGCATCAATCTGTTTGGGTTCTCTCTTTAATCATTTACACTTGTAAGAAATTGAGCATGAGTCATTTAAAATTAGAAGAGCAACGCATTCTTCACTAAGCATTCCAAATTCCACCTATCATTTTTATCGAGTTTCCACCTTTAATTAAAGAGGTGAATTTTTACAATTTTCATGAAACACGGCAAAATAGTTCTTCGTATAAAATGATGCTTTACTGTAACGGCATTAGCTCAGGAAAATCCTTTCTTTACTTATTGCTTGGAAAACCTATATTTTTTAAATTTATTATCTTAATGGCTTTAATTACACTAATTATGTAGGGATTGGGATTAGGGAATTGGCCCATTTACCCTTTTTGTAATTCCGAAAGGGTAAACATGTGAGCAAACATTTTACCTTTGGGATTAAAGACTGGAATAAAATAAGCACCTGTTGAGTATTTAACGCATTATATTCCTAAAAAACCAACCTGGTTTTCCTATAATACCATTAAAATTGTTCTTTATCCATAAATAATAACAACAGCAAGAAATCAATGGGGAATTACATTTATTTTATATTACAATTTTATTCAAATTTATATTATATTTTATCTTATTCGACGTTGAGATAAAAACGGATAAACTCGGAAAATTGCTTTACTACCCAAAGGTGGAAATAAAAAGGAAGTTAACAAAATTTTCCAGGTTAACTCCTGGAAATTGAGTCACTTTTCGATTACATGTTTAATATAAATTGGTTCCCGTACGTTCCAAAATAAGAGTTTTAATGAAAAATCTCAGCATATTTTTTATTAAACCTCTTCAGTTTTTTACGTAGAGCACAAGTATTGCAAGATATACAAAAATAATGAAATAGCTTTTTTGCACATTAAATTACATATCTAGCTGTGTCCATAAAAGATGAAACTACTTTTCAAGAATAATTGAATAAGATTGATATTCCAATCAAGTAGTAACCAATCAGAGAGTAAATCAAAGACATGTCATTGAAGTAATCAAACGGAATATCAGAATATCAATTAGCTACAAACATATCTTCTAATTCTAATAGGATATATCAGATTCGATAGATAACTAACTTCACAATAGAACATTACCATAGTAGAGGCTTGATTTTGAATTGCAAAAATTCAGTTAGCCTGAGAAAATTCTTTGTAAAAATATACATATACAATTTTCTTACCATTTCAAAAATAACTAGCGAAATATAATAAAGAAATACAAATTTAATTTAGCCATTCGATTCAGCGTTTCTCTAAGAATTACAAAAATATAAAGTTCTTTATTTTTGTCTACAACACTTGAAGACTTTTCTCTGAAATATAAACATAATGTCTCTACAAGTATCAGTGTTTTTTATATTTTTATTTATGTAGTAGTAAGGTTTCATGTTCTTGAAGGCACTTAGAGAAGTAATTCATCAAAGAGAATTAAAATAACAGCTTAGAAACAAGCCATAGTCACGTTTCCTAGAATTTTGCACATGAATGTAACGAAATGAATTGCAAATAATAGCCGCTGCCACTTGGAGCTTGTCAAATTAATACTTAAAGGCAAAAACAATTTATAATCCTTAAGAACCATTTTTCAAAAATATTTTACATGCCAAAATATAAAAATATCACATTCTCTGAATAAAATGCAGTGTTTTCCAGTTCTTTATGTGACTCAAAAAGAATATCCCATATAAGACAAGATTTTTAATATAATGAGCAATGGCTTATGGTAAGTACAATATCCCTAAGAAACTGCAGAAAACAAGGATCTCAAGATATATTTCTAAAAGTATAATAGGGTGCTTATATCTGTTCTGTAACTAGTAGGTACAGCAGGTATCAGCTTCAATTGTTTACCTAAGTAGAGGATACTGATTTTAATGAGAAGGATTCTTTGAGGATTTTATTAGAGAATGTTTTTATTGGCACTTACACCGATCACATCATTATGCCTTTGAAAGAATATGAATGAAACTTTTATGATTATATATAATATATGAATATAATAAATTAAAAATACCAGAGAATTTTAAAGGAATATATGGAGTATAAACTAGAAATAAAATAAAAATGCAATATTCTAAATTATTACAAATGGAAGTTTGATATAAGAAGATACATCTAGAGAAGTGAAGTTTAAGAGAAAACGATATAAACAAATTATTGTTAGTATTATTTTTTTAAGCTGACTCATATAAACAATTGATGTTTATAAACAAACTTTGTGTATCAATAAAAACATGCACTAGGTTAGAAATTAGATGCAAATATAAGTGAAAGCTTACCTTAAATTATAAAATGAATGAAAATTCACAAAGGTCATCCATAGATACAGCATCCAGTAGTAGGTAAGTTGTTCACTGCAAAACCATCAATAACACTATTGTCAAATTTTGACAATACCTCGATAGATCTAATGTCCTATAAAGAGAATCAATCAACTTTGTGCCTACAATTTTAAAAACAACCACGCACGTTGTCTTCTTATAACAACAACAAATGAATATCCTACTCCATTTTGAAACCTTCTATGAGAAATGTTACAAATGTGATTTCTTTGTGTCTTCCCATCATCCGGTGATTTCTATGTATAAACCTCACTTTATTTTTCAACTACCTTTAAAACAGTACTTTGCGTCTTCCCAGTTTTTCTTTGGGAGTGTCTGTTCCCAAACAAAATTTATAAATTCCAATTTACATCGATGCAGCTATATTTTCACTGCTGATATGCCGACACTGAATGCAAACTAAATATCTTAGTTTTCGATTAAGCCACCAGATGATGCTCCTTGCCGGAGATTTGAATAATGAAAAGGTTACTGACCCTACCAGCTTACCATTCGAAATCGCTTTCGTTATATATTATTACCACTCAAATATAGATGGCGCTGTAAAAAATAATCCAAGGGCGTGTTTTTAATATGATTGTAATTCATTATTTTAAAGACATTTTTGTTATTATTTTGTCTAATACATTAAATATATTTTACAATAAAGATATGTTAGTCCATACAATTTCAATTTACCAACTTCAATTGAAAATTGAAAGTGGCTTAATGACAGTTTTGACATATCGGTCACTCAAATATTTTGATAAAATTATTTAAATATATTTGAAACCGCTGTTAACAAATATATAGGGAAGCTATTTTTGATTATACTTTGTAGAAAAAGATATGCATTATTAAAAAGTATGTTAAATTTATACAAAAAACGTACTTAAATGTTTCGCATGACGCGAAAAATTGCCTAATGACTTATTGACAGTTGTTGTCAAATCAACAAATTCGTAATTCGTCGAATCGTCGCGTCGTGTGTTCGATATGGGCATAAGGGGATAGGGTTTTTATGTGAATTTTGGTTTATTGAAATTTTCCTTAAATTGTTTTGTCTATCGATTCTTCGGCGTTCAAGAAGAAGTAGGCCTAATTTCTAACTCAAAGAGGTATTCGTGCGATGACAGAAGTCTTTAATACTCAAGAAATCTAAACAAGTTTATAATATTCTAATCCGTTAATATGGCGGAGGTAATGCATAATTTCGACCGATATTGCATTCAGTAAGTAATTACATTTTAAATGAATTGGTAGATTGGTTTAAATTGTTGTTCATATTGCAATTGTAAGATGTACATTCACAACGACAGTCAAATAGTTAAGTGGCGAGGCCGTATTACCTATTTTCAATTAAGTTCAAGATCGTTTTTGTATAATTACCTACCTACTTTTTTGCTTGTACGAAGGAAACATACTTTTTTGCATTTTGCTTGAATATCTCACAATAGGAACGAACCTACTATTCATGTACAGTTAGTAGAAATCATGCCATTAAAAAAAAAAGAAAATATAGGTTTGTGTTAAATATTTATCACCAAAATAAACACATGATTTGTTTCAATGTGATTAAATGAAGGTATTTATGTACTCTAAATATTTAATAATACATGGGCAACATAGCAATATTGCATTTGAAAACACTATTTCTAATCCTGTTAAATGTGGGTTAAATTAATAATGTGTAAATATCTAATAAAAGGATTTAAATATAAACAATTGCTTCAACAAATGCTAATTAAACGCTTATTTATTTGCATGGAAAATTCTTAGCTTTGATATTGTCTGTTTGCTAAAAAGAATAATCATCATTTCTGCAAAAAGACGTGTCCAAATTGTGATATGTTAAAAATGCTACCAAAACTTTTGCAATCATTAACAAAGCAATTAAAAAACTTTCATGAAATAATTTAATGGTATCAACATTTACATTTTTTAAGACACTAAATAATTTACACTTGTCTGGGCAGGTAGGTGTATATATTATTTACGAGTAGATTATGTGATTAATTTAATATTGAAGTAAAGACGAACACTACAAAGATCATAATTAAACCAGGGTCATTCACTGCTATATTACACACATGAGTTATAATGATAATTTAAAGATTGTACCAATTTATTTTTGATTGTAGTTTTTTAATTTTTTTCTTTAAGTGATAATTATATTTTTGTTTTAGCTTTTTTAACAGTAGAGATTGTCCACATGGTGATAAGTGCTCATATCCACACAAAGCTCGATATGAAGTAGAGCAGATCCAATATTCGCCCGGTAACGAATATTTTTTGGGGAAACCTCGAACGAACCAAAGAATTTGTAGATTTTTCTTGAGAGGCAATTGCATTCACCAACAAAATTGCCATTACCGCCATGAAAATGTAACTGACATAGTTTTAAAAGGAGTGGAGAAGTCAACAAATAACCGCTCACCAAAAGGAATCACCAAGTATGTTAATAAAAATAAACTAGTAACTTAATCTAATTCGAGGTTATTCTTAATGGGACACTTAAATGCTTCAATGTGTTTGCAATATAGTCAATCTGATGAGTTCAACAAAGAAAGATTATTAAACTAACTGTTGTTAGAGTGAGAAAGTTGCAATACCACACTATCACTCTTTCTTTTTCCTTGATATAAGGCTAAGTGGAAATTGTCTTTGTTGCACCCACAGCCCATATTGCAAACAATTTGCATCTAGCTGTATATAAGCAATAGTAGATTAGTATAATACCATAATTTTTTCAAATATTAACTTTAGAATTCTAAAAATAAAAATTCTCATTGACTTAACAATTTGAAAGAGTATTTTTTTAATTAATTATAAGAATGGCAAACGAATACTTTATATGTAATAAAGAATACAAAAAATTTCATATTTTTATCTTTGAATTGTCACGAAGCTATCAAAATTTATTGAACAGTTGTTTGTAAATTTGAATTGAAAACCTTATATCTCAGTGTCGATTTCGAATTTATATTTTATCAATGATACTTACATATTACATAAGCGAAAAACTTATTAGTAGTACATTATTATTTCAAGGAGAAACACATGTTTTAATAAATAGTTAATGATAATAAATATTATCATTACTTTTAGTTTAATAATTGAAAAATGTAATCTACTTTAATATTTGTTTTACTTTTAGCATGAATGTACCTTCTACATCTCAAACTGAAAATGTATTAAATAAAAATTCCATCAATAGCAATTTAGACCTTCAGAACAAAGAAATCCGTATCTCCAATCAAGAAATTAGTCCCTGGTAAGTAATTCACTTGATTTGCCTTGTAAATTCTATAATTTTTGAAAACACTCGTTCATTTGCATCGCAAAATTTTACATTAATGTGTCTTTAATTTTTAAATACTTTTTGTATGTTTAATGTAAAGTCCTGTAGATTTTGAACTGAGTTTGTTTGTATTAATGTTTTTAAATATCGCTCAGATCGTCTTTAGTTTTAAAAAAAATGAGCAAATACATTAAGGTTATATTCATATTGATAGATAGATAGATTGATTCATATATTGTTGATTTCCTGTAAGTTTTTATCGAATTCAAAAATATTTTTCATATTTAGCCAAAATGAAAATGAAGGAACTGACAATAAATCCATAGCAGAAGAAGGTGCTTGCGCGTCTCCGCCTCTGACACACATAAACGATTCTTGGGTAAATGCTCCGGAATTTGTGCCAAAAAGCTCATATAGACCAAAAAGTTACGCTGAAGCTCTTAGTCCCGAAGCCATCGCTGAGAAAAATGCTAAAAAAGAACTCTGCCGCTACGTCAATAAAGATGGCATCTGTAGGAATTTGACTGATTGTACTTACCTGCACGGGGAAATGTGTGATATGTGTGAAAGGCTCATCTTACATCCGTACGATGAAGAACAAAGAAAAAGACATCGTCAAGTAAGTTGCATGGACTATTAAAAAAAATAAACAATTAGTTGCCAAAATGCCTATTTGAGAATTGTTATTGAAGGAATGCTTGAAACAACACGAAAAAAACATGGAACTATCCTTTGCCATTGCTCGATCGAAGGAGAAGTCGTGCGGAGTCTGTTTCGAAGTCATTATGGAGAAAGCGAATGGTGAACAAAGATTCGGGATATTACCAAATTGCAATCATTGTTTTTGCTTAAGTTGCATCCGCAAGTGGAGGCAGGCTCGTCAATTCGAAAACAAAATTATCAGGTACATTGAATCGAGAGTCGTTTAAAAAGTTCCGTTCGTTATTGTTTCAAATTTTCAGAGCATGTCCCGAATGCAGGGTAACTTCGGATTTCGTCTGTCCGAGCATGTACTGGGTCGACACGAAGGAAGACAAAGAAAAACTAATCGAAGATTACAAAAAAGCTTTATCCAGAAAAGACTGCAAATATTTCAAAAAGGGACAGGGACGATGTCCGTTTGGAAATAAATGTTTCTATTTACACGCCTTTCCCAATGGTCGCAAGTGCGACGTTGGGCCCCCTCTAAGGCAAAGACGCCCTCGCAACACCGAGGCCGACATGGATGTTTTGCAGGTAATTTGCCTTTAACTATGGCTTACACCGGGTGACTACAAATGAATGAGATTTGAATTCTTTTAATTCATTGCCAGACTCATTTGCAGTCACTAGGTTTGTAGTTTAGATTTATCAGGGTCTTTTTTATTATAATTGTGAGAGTTTATAAAATGTTCTACATAATTTCTTATTTCTTTGCAGCATCTAATGCTGTGGGACTTTTTCGATGATCGTGATTTTCCTTGGCAATCCTTGGCCGATGATTTGGAGGATTTAGTTTCATTTTTTACAGATTCCGATGATTCTGATTGGTCAGATTATGAATTTATTTTCGATTAGATTCAGCCGAATGATCAAATATCACCGTTTATTTTACTCCTGTGTCTATTTTTTTCATTCATTGAAAAGGTCATTGGTCGAATTATTGCTAGTATAATTGTATATATCTTGTTCATATTTTTCAACTTTGTTTTTAACAACCTTTAAATATTTTTCATTGCTTTTACTTGTAAAAAATTCATTTTGTTTTTTTTACTTGCAAATCATATATGTATTAAAACCATATTTTTTCAGTGTTATATCAGAGTTGGTTGTGATAAATTTTGGTTAAAAAACTCGTATAAATTTTTTCAAATCGCATATTGTTATTTCTGAATTGCAGAAAGCATGCGTTTCAGTAAAATAATAAAATCTTTTTTTAGAGATTGTATTTTCCAAACAGTTAAATTACATAATTATTTGATATTCAATTTAGACTTTTTTTATTATCGCGTTGCAGTTAATAAGTTGTAATATAGGTACACACGTATACATTATTTTATTTAACTGTGGAAAATACCAATTAAAGATAAGCTCCGAAAATTCTCATTCCATTTTTATTTAGATTTAAATTGAATCCTGATTTGTATTTATCGCAAACTTATAAAAAGCATGTTACATTGGGATATTTTTCTTGTATCGATTTGTGGAGCAGCTACTAAAAGAGTGTTATTATACATAATTTAGCTGGATCGGCTGAAAAATTCTCTTTAAAAATGTGAAAACCCATCGGAAGTATTCGACAGGTTTTACAGATGTCTTGTAATAGCAGGAAAGATTTGCTCTTGAGGTCCTCATTAGTAGCAGCCTCGACGCTCAAATGCGATAAAATTTTTCTTTGAAGCATCCAAACTGTCCTTTAATTGGTCTTTGGAAACCTCATCGCCCGAGCTGTTAGCTTTTATCTCGTGCTCGCCCAATATCTCGAGGATTTTCTGCGACTTATTGAGGCTCTCTTTAGTTTCGTTTGTAACTGAAGTCGTGTCATCGTCTTCAGTTTTCTCGTCGATTGCAGATTGCGAGAGATATTGGCCGATCCAGCTTATACCGAAATTCATAATTTCAGTAATATCAACTCTATAAAAATGTTTATTTTAAGATATGTTATTGGAAGTGGTATTTTAGTTTCCGTGTAGTTCAGCTGTCTAAGAAAAATATTGACGCTTGTAATAAATAAAAAAAAAACGTTTACTCTGTATGATCGTTACATGCAAATGGTGCAGATTTGAACATCTCTTTATGGGCCTGTGCGTCATAATTACTTTATTGTATTTATTAGGAATGAATAATTGTTTTCTGGTCCCATAGACGCTTTCGTAAATATGCCAATCAAGACAACAAATTTCGGTCAAAGAATGCTACTTGTTATGACGACTGCTAATATAACTGCATTTATTTAACATTTAATCTGTGGGTCAGTTTAGATATTTCTTTGAGAACAGTTTTTTGCTACGCCGGGAAACGCCGCTTTAGGCAAATGAGAAACAATATTGAACAATTTGATGTAAATATTTTATTTAAAATAAAAATGTACTGACCATGTCGTTTACGTAATAACGGGTAAATTTATTTAAAAAACGAGATGTTCCAAATAGTAAATATGATAATAATATAATTATTGTTATACGTTGTATTTTAATAAATTATTGGATTTAATTATAAGTGGACTATAAATTAAAAACCTACCTAACGATATTACTCGCATTAAGTGCGAGGCTTGTTATTTATGTTTGTAATAAACGATTAAATGTTAAAATAGTTGCAATGATATTTTGAGAAAAAGAATATCAAATTCTGAAGGAGGTATAAGTGCGAAATTTAATATGTAAATAGATTATTTTGACCTAGTGCATATTTCGAATTAATCTATGGATTTGATGTTGAAATACTATCTAAATGTTACTTTGAACATTGTAATCTTGAAATGTCTGCATGAAACTGTCTGTTACTATTTGTGTCATTTTTGAAGGATACATAAGTGTAACTCGCTAAAAAATCTATCTCTTCTAATAATTTTTAATCTCGTCTGTACGATAATCCTAGATTTAGTTATTGCTGCACCCAATTTAATCTTTGTGTTAGGTATAAAAGTCTTAGTGAATTTTTTCAGTAATCAGATATCCTACAGTATTTTATATTTCTTTAAATATGTTATTTACTAAATCACAACATATTTTTTCAACAAAACAGTTTTGTTAAACAAATTACTTTTTTTCTTCACAAAATCGTCTTGCAATCGAAAAAAAAAAACGTTAACTGACAGGATGATGACTAAGATGTTTTCATGTGTAGCTAAATGTTAAATGTTTCATGGTTAAATATACAATATAAGTATTCAGGATGAACATTAACATTCTGTCAATAGACGTTATTTGAACTAAAGAATACTAGGACTATCTGGTTAGAAAAAACTAGAATTGCTTAACTAAGTCATGGATTTATTATAAAGCTCTGCAGTCATGTTGCACAAAATCTATCACCGCTGCATTGAAAATTATTTTGGTCTGTATCGACTTGATTATCTAGCTTTACGTGTTTAATAGAATTGAATCAATGTTAACAATGTCTGTAAATGTTTCAACGTCCGTTTAAAAATCCCCATAATTTGTCTAAAATGCTAATCCTTGTTTTCAAAAAAAATGTTTTGTTAGAGATACAGCTAAAAGTTTTCTTTAAGGGTTCAGTGCAAATTTTTATACACAATATTCATGTAAATAACTTGAATATTGTCGATCATAAAATTTTTTCCTTCGTTTAGATATGTTTTGGCTACTTTTTAGATAAATTGCTTAAAATGCTTAGAATGAGAGTAACTTGCTGTTTTCTTTATATGTATAAGTACAGTAAAATATATTTAGTTTTGTTCACGGGTTGACAGCATTTTAGATAGTAATATTGTAATTATAGTTAATTTGTATATCATCTCAAATTTAAGTATTTGCTTTGTTTGTATATTAAACTTGGATATATTTATGAAATAATTAACGTTTAAATTCAGTTTAGTTTAATAACAGAGGATGAAACTTGCTCTTATTTTCTAAAATGCGTTAAAAACCTTCGGCTACTTTAGAGCTAAATATTCCAACAAAGACAAGTTCTAGTAGACAATTTTGTATTTATAATTTTTTATGTAAATGTTATAACCATCAGGTATATAGAAAAAAACAGATATTCATATGTAAGAAAGGTGAAGATATAGAAATACATATATGGATATACATAGAGTGTAACTTGGCATTGTTTTAACAATTTATTTGAATAGATAGATACTAACATGTGTGGTGCTAGGACAGATGAACTGGAAACTGGCAATTTGCCATGTTGAAAAGATCTGTGATTGTTAGCTTGTTAGATGTAATTAAAATTACAGTAGCTTTTATTTACATTATTCATTAAAATATTTATGAAGAAACCATTTAATTATACCTGAAATTCCCAAAATAAACAGTTGATGGTTTAAATAAATGTTTTGTCATCTGTGATTTTATTGTTTTATTTCACCTTTTCTACAATAAGCTATTTATAAAAGTTCATTTGTTCTATTAATGAATAATGCATTCCAATTTAATAGTGTTACATATGATAAAATTTATGCAGCAATTAATAAATACTATTAAGATTTGTTTGATCGGTGAATTACACACCTACTTTATATTCCAAATTTTTAATTAAGACAATAGTTAGTTTGACAGTCTTTTTAATTCAACTGACTAAATTAGATATCAACAAATTGAAATAAACATACAAGCCCGTGACAATTGTAACGGGAAATATCCTATTGTATGTACATACCTCAAACAAATGTTTCGTAAATATATTAAACTAACATTGTATAACTATAAATTTCAACAGTCATTTATAAACTATTAGTTCATGCCTAACTTCTTCATGAGTTCCAAATTTTGCCTTTGTTTTATTTCTTGTAGAGCTGCTTCGAAGTCTTTCTGTTTCTGTGATTCCGGAGGATAAATTTCTCGTTTTTTGTTAACAACCCATTCTTCGAAATACTGGGGTTGATTGAAATAATAGAAAAGTGCTACAGGAAATGTTACATATAATCCCATTTTTGCCACTTCGAGCTTCCAGTTACCCATGTTTACCTAAAAACCAATTTCGAACAATCGAATATTGATGACCGGAACAATTTAAAGAAACCTAAACCTACTTGTTTTTGATAATCAGTTGATCTTGAATCTGTTTTAATTAATGTATACTGTGTAGATTATTTCTTTCAAAGAAAATGGAAAGTTATTTTGATTTTCAAATATAAATTGATAAGGTTAGGTTAATTTCTACTTCTTTTTACTTTTTAATTTATCATATGTCATTTATATGTCAATAAAATTTTTCTTCTTTATAAATTATTCCAGTCCATTTGTCTATTGGCATTCAGCCACCTCTAAATAATTTCTACAGGGTGATACATAGTTTTTTCACAAAATATGAAACACGCCGAAATATTCATTAGAAATATAATACTTACCAGCGTAGAATATTTATACAGGGTATTTGTGAAGGAGAAATGGAAAATGGAATAAATATTTTGTTTTTTATCCAAATATTATTCATACAAACATTAGTTCTAATCCTTTCATTAACTCAATTATTCCATAATACGTATATATTTGCAAATATTTTAACGTGCTAAGATACGGACTTATTTCAACACAAAATGTCATTAAAAGATGGGTTGCTGAGAATCTCTGCTGAATGGAGCCATTAAAATTTGATCCCCTTTTATATAGTAAATATTTAACTAGCTGTCGGTGTTAATTTCAAAACCAAAGTTTCCTAAAGTGCAATCTTTTTTTTAAGCGAATCGAATTTAGATACGACGTAAAGCTCAGACGAATCGATCAACAATTTCTGATGTTTCCACATCAGTTATTACGTTAAGTGCAAAACGGCCCGAATTTAATATAGCAAATGCGAAGCATAACAATTTTCGAACTTTTTTAAAGGAATTATATTCGATATTTTTCTATATATGGTAAATGGGAAAGTTTATTTTTTGTTGGTCCTCTACACTCTACAGTAAAAGAATAATATGTTATCGAAAGTACCTCCGATTCAAACAGATTTATAGTGATGAAAATCCTGAACAAAATTAAACTTCATGTTCCTTTTTTCGTGTCATTAGTTTCCTTCTTTCGCTCACACCGATAAGGTTAGAAGTTTTTCTGGAGAATTTTATCTCTCTTCGCGATAAATTCACGGAAACTCAAATATTTTGTATTGGCTCATGATTGGACTGGAATTTATTGAACCGTTTAGAAATCTAATTCTTGAAGTAGAACTTTACTAGATCGAGACGACGAAATGTTTATACCATTTAACAAATAAATGACTTTCTTACTTTTAGCAATCCTGTCGAATGAATAAAATTATTCCTTCATAACGAAAGTTCTAAAAAAATCGTTCTCTTGCTTACGTACGGTTGATGATCGTAAAATGTAGGAATTCTGAGATCATTAGATAAATTTAGCTAGGTGGGAAACGTTTTTTAAACGAATTTGGGGATACCGGTAACAAAAACCAAGAGTAAAGTGGTCTGAAAAACGAACCAAACGAGCCTTGAATTCTAGACAGTAGGTAAGATCAGGAACAATAACTCCTAAATTAAGAATGAAGGCGGTTTCATCATAAAAAATATTTGTTTTCCAACAAACGTAGCGTCAATGTAATTAGACCAGAGGCTAATATTTTACGATGACAGAATTGTCTAAAAATAGTTAAACGGGTATAGCATAAATTGCTACATACAAGAGATATAGCAGCTTCCAACGAGTTTCCACTTCACAACAATATAATTTACGAAATTCATTAAATTAATGCATGCCTGTTTACAGCTCTCCGCGATATTTGTCAAACAAGAGTGTGTGGATAAAAATGCAATTGCGAACGATCAATTACCTAAATGAACGGATTAAATTTCCAGTACGCCAAAATAAATACACATTTAGAAAAAAATACAGGATAATTGATTGTTTGCTACATTTCCATTAGTTTTTTTGATTCTCTTGAAAAATTGAATAATTAGACACTTGATGATATTTTTTATGGTTATTCGCAAATGTTAGATTGAATATTTTAGATAACTTTTTTAATTGTTTTGAAAATTATAATTAATTTATATTAATGAAGGCTTCTGTATCGAACATATAGAGGCACTAAGCCTCCATCAATGTTTACCATGTTTATCTACCGGATATAATGCTATAATGAGCAAACCATGATTACGAACTTAACGGGTAATGGACCAGCTTCCTGGTCTTTTGTGTCGCCATTTTGCGCAAAATTTAGAAGAAACCTTCAATGATTATATAAAACTGAAATATTCATGGAATTCCGATGAACAGAGGAGGCTAATAGGGTGAATTCATTAAAACGCTAACCACTTTATTGGAAATATCACGTACATACATCTACTATTAACACCACCAAATCCGAATTAGTGTTGTCACTCGAAAGTTGTATGAATAGAACTTCATTTGCAGCTTTGCCGTCAAAGTTTTAGCATTATGTTGCACTGATATGAATCCATAACAAGATTTATTAATGGAGTTGGATTCCTGGGTTCAGCATTTATAAATAGGCAAAATAAGTTCAATATGCGGCAAAAAATCACTCTAATTGAGGCGATTGTTGTGAGGCATTCCATTCAATCTACAAATATTAAATTTTACATCGCCAGTTACTTTAACAATGGTGACTTGGCGAAAATTGGATGTAACTTTGGGAGTCTTCCATTAATTTTCATTAGCCAATAGGTTATGTTATTACGGCGGCGCGTTTACAAGGCACGAGGAAAAGCTTTAGCTTTTACCAAAACTCTCGTAATTAATCCTTATTATTTAATTTTGACCGCGCTGAACGAAAAATGATCGTCTATTAATCCGCCGTTCTCTCAAGTTTGACCTACGTGTATTTCTGTATTTTACCTCCCGTATGCAGAAATTGGATAGATCCAGAAATTTTCGTTATTAGCCTAATCCAGAGTGTTCACCATCGGCGAGTCAGATCCTGATATGAGACAGACTTATGGGTTCAATCTAGCGGCTTTATGAAATGAAACGGCGGCCTTCAAAGCCAAAACTGATTTAAAAAAGTTAAAGTTTGGAATTACTCAGCCGCAGATGTGACCATATACGAACCCTGAACTTCGAAAGACAACGATTCGAACAACGGATAACACGTCTAGATCATTTTGTATCGGTTCACTCAAGTCCTGACGTCGTCCTTTCGGCGTCTGCACGTAGATGCAAAGTTAGGTTCATTGGCTTATAAAACGTTCTTATTTTCTGCTCCTTCTTCTAATTAATTTGATGTGTTTCAGTTCAATCTCGAATCACGGCTCTGTATTCTGAGTGTAAGATGAAAAAACATGCTTAATAAAAAAACACTTCGCTTCGTTCTGAGACGTGACAATGGTTCCTAATGGATCTTTGATAAAATTAGTTGTCAGTCTATCCGAAGTTTCTGTAAAGATGATTCTGCAATTTATTAGGTCGATACATGTTCTAGATATTTTAAAGATTCTATATGATTTTATATTTATGCTTAATTTTATTATAATACCATTCAAATTATTATCGCTCATGAGGATGTGAGAGATTGCGTTGCAAAAATCGCACTATATATTTTATAAATCCTCCAAAAAAGGTAGTTCCTGTTCAATTTCCCTTCAATAAACGACGTACAGTTGGCAGAAAACCAAAGACTAAAAAGAAATAGATCGATTAGTATGATCAGAAGTGAGAGTCTCGACCTCGCAGAGACATGGGACATTCCAATTTCCTGTTTCTAAGTAGAGCATGAAGTTAAATTGTGGTCTTTAAAAATTTAGGAAGTCTACGGGAGTGCTCAGCCGATATTTTCGGCAAGAAAACAAACCAAACGAAATAATCCACAAAAAGCACTTCATTAAAGTTACCAATTATGATAACTAAAATACAGGATGATGGTGGAATTAATAAATTCCTGTGGATATTGCATATAATTAATTATAATTAAGATATTTTTTATATTGTTTTCCTACTGCGTTTACTGTATAAAATGCATTGAAAAATATGGGCATTTCCTTCAAAATTAATAAGCACATAAAAAATGAAATTGTTTTAATGAATCAAAATTTAAGTATCGAGATAATATTACCATCGTTATTATCTACTGAAAAAGCGTGTATACGTCGAAAAAATTTTTTACAATTTTTTTAAAAACAATTTTTTTTCATTTATTTAGCATTTTTAGAAAGTTTTCGCTAAAGCTCTGTATATGCATGCATATCAAATTAGTATTGCAAAGTGCGTTTGTAATTCTCTTAGGATTAACACTCTACGTTTGATGGAAACTCCAAAACTTGATAACTCTTTGATATGCGAGTATCGTCTTCGACGTCATCTGACCATCATTATTACTATCCAGTGCGCTCACCCCCTTTTAGGGGCGGGTTTTCTCTATGCTCACAGAATATCAAGGCATTTAATTAAAAACCATAAATTCATAAAGGCGCGAATAAATTTTTATAATTAGTATCGGAAGGGTTGGCCTAACTGTTAGTTTCAATTTATTTGAAGAGGCTACTTGTTGAGCAATATCGATATTATAACGCCCTTAAAGTAAATTTGGATTCTGTGTTAGTACTACCTATAGGGTAATTTATAAACTGCGGACTAATTTAATTAATATGCCCATAACCTCAGGAATACCGAATATATAATTTAGTGCAAATCATTTACATTTTAGGGAATCTTTTAACATGTTTACGAGTATAATCAAATTAATTATTAACACTTATAGGTACATTCTCGTTGAACCTATTATTTTTCCTTTAATTAGTGAACGTTTAAGTTTAACCATCGATTACCTATTACCTTCATTAAGAAAAGGTCACATTACTATCAAAATGATAGACGATTCTATTATAACCAATCTACATTTTCTAAGTCCAAAGTAACATAGATTTTCACGCATTAAATGCGATAGGTTTTCTCTCAGACGCTGAGAACAACCCAGCGGCGGTTGTTGGGGTATTTTAATTTCGCAACTATGAATCTGTAACAAATTTAAATAGGCAAATCTTGTTCAATTTCGA